GGTCTGGATGGCCTGACCTAAGGTCCTTAGGGTTCAACCGGGCCTACAGTACCTCCTGCAGCTCAGCGTCAGATGACTCCTCCATTGTTGGGCTCCCCCACTGCTTCTTAGCAGCGCTGTGATTCCCGTTGGCTCTGCTGAGCTAAGCTTTGCGAGAAAGGGGAGATGGCTGCAGATCCGTTTCAAATCAGGCCACTGGACGTCAAAAGGGAGCTCTGAAAAAGCCTGCCTTCTCTGTTGGCAGGAAGAGAAGACTGGAAGGGGAATAACAAAGCTGGACTTCCTATCAGGGAAGGGAAAGTGGAGGGAAAGGAGTTCCCCACTCACCTGGGTCTCCTTGTCCTGCCAATGGAGAATGGCAGTGCACAAAGAAGGGAGAGATTTGTGATCTTTCAGGCATCTGTGCTTTCCTTTCAAAGGGTAGAGCCTCTGAGTTTCCTGGTCACCAAATAAACATGTTAAGTACATATGTATTCTAGAGCATTGCACCTGTATCTCAGCATCTCCTGGATTTGTTATGCTGGGCACGATGAGTGTCCCAGTGATGTGGGGCAGGAAGTTTTCCATGGAAAATTCTCTAAAACAGAAAATCCTCCCATTCTATATTTGTCCATGGAAAAATTTACAGTCTCACGCATGTAAATATATCTGCCTATAGTTGTCAGGACTGTTTAGCTGCAAATAAGTCACGTCTGATGGGCTAAATGTGAGGTATGAAGAAGCATGGATAAGTCTCGGTGCTTATACATGGTGTTTTTGCCTTCTTCTGCCACATTAATTATATTTTGCTAACATTATTTCATGACGGAGTGAGCTCCCGTCTCTAGTTCCAGCTCCTTTATTTAAATAGGAATTGGAATGTTTTCTGGAAAACCTTTCTAATGCCAATTTTTCTGGAAAAACCACATGACTGGTCCTCAGACACATCGTATTTTAAAGTGGTTAGCTAGCGGTACATCTCACCAGCATTCTGAAGGCCTTTTGGATTTATTAGAATTTAACTTGAACTGCAGGTTGTTTGTGTGGACATACATATTCTAAAATATAATGTGCAGTTCAATAAAGGTATTTCCTAGTTGGCCATGAACGTGTTCTGTTCCACGTCAAGACCCTTTTAAGTGTGAGAGCTTTTGCACCTGCAGTTCAGCTTGCTGCATACTAGAGTCCTGGCTGGCAAGATGAATTGATTTAAATCACCAGTTTAGACACTGATTTATATTTCGAGTTCATAAATTACATCCTTTCCTAATTGTTTGCTCTTAACAGTTAAAACATAATAGCCTCCAATGAGGTAAAGCTTTCATCCTACTTAAGAGCGTTATTCATAACTTCTGGTTACAAGGGATTAGATCCAGCAGAAAAGCTCGTGTTTAAGAGCCTGCTCTTTGTCGTGTAAATTCCCTCTCAGGTTTGGGGATGCTGATGAGCAAGATGTATCACAGCACAAGGGGCTGTGGGAAGAAAGAAGTGGGTAAAATAGCCTCTTTTCCCCTAGGCATAAGCAGCTAGTGGAAGGAGGAGGTGGTGTTGCCTTATTCTCCTTGTGGCCACCTCTCATACTGTAGCACGTTTTATCCACGAAGGGCCCCCTTTCCTTGCTTTTGCATCAGTTGTTGTAAATATTCCAAACCGCTGCAATAATAAATACTTGACCAAAAAGTAAAATACCTTTCCCTGTACTTTTTAAAACTTATATTTAGAAGGCTGTGAGTTATTTTTGAGGATATATTGATTTTTTAAAAAAAATAATAATTAAATCAAAGGTTCCTTTTTTTAAAAAAAAATCAAGCTTAAAATGAGAGCTGAGTTTCATGGGACCTATTTTATCTTTAAAAGCTGTTTTTATCTTCTATACTGGTTGTTATGAAAGTACCTTAATACATGGATCTCTCTGTCAGTAAAGAGATGAGGCCTGGGTGTCCAGAGCTGCATATTAAGCTTCTTGCACCATAAAGTTATATGTGCAGGCATTCTGGATTTGATAGGACAACTAAATTTGGGGAAACGTCATCAGTTCCTGAAGGCCTTGCACATATATTAACACTCTTTTAGAGCGCTTGTCTGGAATTTCTGTGTGCCTATTCTCTGCATGGGAGTTATTAGTGGCTAATTATCAGGCCATCATGGTTCATTATGATTCTTTTTTATGGTATAATCTCTTCTCCACAGTTAATTGTGTTCTTGGGAGCAAAAGGTCAGACTTTTTTGACTACTAGAAAGAGGGGAGGTCAAGATGAGAGAATAACACATGCCCTAAGAGCTTAAGATATTTCGAAGGCAGCCAGCTTGACCTTGCAGAGTCACTTATGGTTAAGGATGACATGATTACTTCCAGAGCTTGTGCTGAAGTTCCTTGGCCTGCTCTTCAGATGTTCTGTTCACGGCCTCATTAACAACTTGGGTGTGACTGAAGGGTATAGCCTAATTGATGGAACCTGGGGAGGGGGCTGGGCAATGACAGAAAATAATGGGGATGCATACAGTAGCCCTGATTCCTATCATTTGGTATCTTTCAAGAATAGTCTAAGCTAGGTACTCATTGCCTGATTTTAGAAGATCTCTGCACCCTTGAGGTATTATATAACTATCCATATGTATGCTTGTAGATGTGCACATACCAAAGAACCCACAACTTTCTTTTTTAAAGAAGTCTTGTCTCCAACTGCAGGTTTCTTTGGTAAGCCACCTAAGGTATATGTGCAGTAGAATGGCCGAAGGACTCTTTAGAATGTGCTTATTAAGCTGTGTTCCACATTGTTTGTGTCTTTCAGGCTAAGTATATGAGCACAGTTCATTTCCCACATTGTGTCTACCCATAAGGATGATTCTGTTTATATTAGAATGTATTGTTCGTGCTTATAAATGTGGCCGCCTTAAGGCAGTTAAAATAAAATTCAGTAACGTTGACCCATAATCATAACAGTAAAATACAGTAGAACCACAACATTAACATTGAAGAGCAGAAAAACAGCTCAGAACCAGGCTCTGCATAGTACTGTAACTTGCTTCCTATGGTAAGGAGAGATGAACATGGAGCACTTAGGAGAATATTTCAAAGACATGGTACTACCAGCATACCTTCGGGACCGCCTCTCCCCATATGAGCTCCGCAGGAAGTTATGACCTACTAATCAACACCTCCTGGTGGTTCCTGGCACCAGGGACGTCTTACTTGTCTCAACGAGGGCCAGGTCTTTTTCAGCCCTGGCCCCTATATGGTGGAATGAGCTCCCAATAGAAATCAGGGCCCTGTGGAACCTATGACAATTCTGCAGGGCCTGCAAGACAGAGCTCTTCCGCCAGGCTTTCAGCTGAGGGCGATTGGCTGATTGGCCTTCCTTCCAGTGACCTCAGATCCGAATGGCCACCTGGGAACAGACTGCTTCTTGTTGAAATCTGTTGAGGCACCGGTCTTTTATCGATTCCTGTTTTTAGATATGTTTTTAGATATATTTTTAACTGTCGATTTGTTGTACTGTGAATTTTATGATGGAATCCGCCCTGAGCCCACTCGTGGGGAGGGTGGGATACAAATCGAATTAAATTTCTTAAAAATACCATAGACCATAAAAACACTTCCTGATATATTGGCAGCCACATTTCCTGGACGGATGGAATATGTAGCAGGCTCGCCTAGATTGTCTTGAGTGTCCAGGTTCATGTAGATGGTAACCATCAGGCAAAGGGTCCCATGACGTTTCAGGGCTTTTAAAGGTGACGACGAGCTCGTTAAATTGGACTGGAAGCTAATTGGTAGTTAGTACAACTGGAAGTGTTGCTTGTGTGAAGGCGGGGAACACTGCCTGTGAAAACACAGGTGGACAATAAGCATGTATTACAGAATTGCTGTTGACTGCTGCTCCCAGTTGCATGTGTGTTGGAGCATGTTTTCCTTCAGATGTTGCACATGGAGGGGCATATTGCAAGTAATCTCCTCTCCTGCACCACACTGGTAGATAGCTGCACATCTCTGGAGGCCTTTAAAAAAAAAGTGAGGTGGGTACAGGAAATCTAGGCAATAGAAATGCAATGAGCTGAATAACGGGATCATAAGCTGTCTTTCCTTCTACTGCACTGAGGGTGGGATCTGTAGTTGGCAGAATGTATGGGGAGAGTCTGGCAATTATGCTTGTTTTTTGGTAGGTGCAGCATCTAGTGCTGTGGTAATGAATAAAAATCTGTAATCTAATAGACAGACTGATCCGGGGGGTTAAGTGGGAAGTCTGTGGAGGCTCAAAAGTTACAAAAGCGTTAATACTATGGGTTTTGTGGAACCTTAATGAGTTCGTGTCTAAAAAATATGCTGAAGGATCCCCAAGTTTTGTTTTGTTCTTTTGGAATCTTTGCTTTCAGTTTCTTGAGTATCAAATTCCACTTTATTTAACTCATGCAAATAAAGAAAACTCTTAAGACATACACTCCTTCTCCAGTCTGATAGTAACCTTTTCAAATGGATCGGTAACTATGTTCCATTTAGAGCCACTTCACAACTGTATACATCTATCCTGTTTTGCCTGTGTTGGTGTTTGCTAAAATAAAGATGTCTAGTGTGAAAAGAGACAAAGATGTCTAATGTGAAATGAGACAAAGATGTCTAATGTGACCAGCATTTCACATGATGTACTCTGCATTGTATTGCCTGTATTGGTGTTTGCTAAAATAAAAATGTCTAGTGTGAAAAGAGACAAAGGGTTGTATCCAACCACTGTTCACAGCTAAGGGTGCTGTGTTACATTGGTGTAGAGGCTTTTTCATTGGTGGTAACATGGTATGTGCCAATGGAATGCACCACCATTAGCTGCACATAATGGTAGGGTGCCATCCAAACTCTCCATTGTGTATGAATTCATGCAGTGGAACCATGAATGCCACTTCCTGACAGATGTCCAGTTTATATGTGAGGCACTGTACCGCAGTGAACTCAATTGCCACCTAAAATGTGAAAATCCCTTTGTTGCTTCAGGTGGTCTGATAACACGTGTCCATTTTATTTTGTCTAGTTTTGGGCTGAGCAACAAATTTGAAGCAGAATTTCCTTCATCATTAACAGGAAAAGTAAGTAGCTGCGAAACCAAATCTGTTCAAGCTGGCAAAATGTATAATTTAGTCAGTTTATGTTGCTTTGAAGAGGCAAAAAAAAAAGCATTTAATGCTCATCGTCAAACATTGGAAGTATACCTGTCACTGCTCCCTAACTTCTTGTTCTTTTTTTTTTTTTAAGGTTGCACCCGAGGAATTTAAAGCCAGCATCAGCAGAGTGAACAGCTGTCTTAAGAAGAATCTTCCAGTAAACGTCCGATGGCTCCTCTGTGGTTGCCTGTGCTGCTGCTGCACTTTAGGTTGTAGTATGTGGCCAGTGATTTGCCTCAGTAAAAGAGTAAGTGAGACGGCGCTTATTGTTCTCTGGCTTGCCACTTAAACCTTGCACGTTCACTACTGGCTGCTTCTGTACTTGGCTGATCCGTTGTCCAAAAGTCTTCTGCAGCTGCTAATGCTGAAAACATTCTACTGTAAGATGTGCTTTGATTAATATGGTACTGGTGCATTGTGGTTGCTGCTGGTTTGTGGTTGGATTCTTAGAATGCAGATACCTCCCAGAAATCTACAGCTTCATACCACAACAGAGAAGTGAAGACATCCTTGGGGGGAAATATTTTAGTGCAAAAACATTCGTTTTGATCCCCATTGGCTCTTCCTCACAGACCGTCTGTCAGCATTATAAAATCAAATTAGTTTTTAACAGTGAAATGCTTCACACTGTGCAAAAGTGTATAAATATACTAGATAAAATCCCCATACTTAAAACGCTAAAATTCTTACTTGCCATCTTACCGTAGTGCAGTGATTTGAAAGAATTCTGTTGCACGGTTTTATTTTCAGAGTATATGCATTATACTTGTTGTGTTTTTTAATGTAGCTTGGCAAATGCGTGTTCCCAGCCCCCACATGCCCAGGAATGGAGGGACAGTTGTAGGACAGAATTCCCAGGCAGAGCTTGCTTAACCCATTCTGTGTCTGTTATTTCCATGAGCAAATCAACTCCCCCTTCTCCCCCCCCGCCTTTTTTTCCTAGGTTTGCTTATTTCCTGCATTAGAGTCCAGCTGAGAGAAAATGCGTTAAGTGTTGTGGAGTGTGTTTTGGGTTTTATAGAGGGTTATCAGTGGGTGGCTGAATGGTTATGTATTGTCTCCTCCTTGTAGATTCCCTCTGCAGGTGTGCTGTCTCCACATTCAGATCTCTTGGATTAGGGGACTTCTCCTTGCACAGGAGAAAAGCACCACCATTAATGGAACAATCCCGCTAGATCCAGCCTATGGCATTTGTAACCATGTGTTAGCCGCCCTGAGCCACTGGGTAGGGCGGGATAGAAATCCCAAAAATAAATAAATATAAATATAAATAAATTATAGCTCCATCTTAGGTTACCTGTCTGAAAAGGTTTCTTTGCTTCCCAACAGGTGAAGTTGACCAACGGAGGACATCTCCGTTTTCTGATTTGTGTGCTGCCTTATAGTTCTTGAAATGGGTCACAATGCAATAAAATCAGAAATCAAATAAAAACTCAAGTTAAAACAGTAGCATAGGACACAAACAACCCACCCTGTTAGTCACAGTAAAATGAGACTGCTTTTACTTGTCCCTTAAAGTTCAGTTGGCAGATAAACAGAGGAAAGCAGCATGAGTTGCTGCAGTCAAGCAGTCTGCAATTCCCAGCAAAGGCGGAAGAATGACAGAAAGGACAGAGATCTTCCACTGGGCTTTTGGTTGAGGCGGCAGACGTCCCCCTCTCTGGCTGCCCCCCCCCCCTGTCAGTGGCCTGGATTCTTAATTCCATTTTAATAGCTAAGACACCTGATCAGAATTTACATGGCATTTTAGGATTCCGTGCTATTTTATATTGTTTTAATTAGTTTTAATTGTATTATATATTGTGTTTTATATCGCTGGAACTAGTATTCCCTCTAAGCTGAGTTAGTGTGAGCTAGCTCACAGTTTTTTAGCCTCTGGCTCACACGTTTTTGTCGTAGGTCAGGAGGGATGCATCCAGAGCAAACTAATTTATGCAGGAGCCAAATCGCTCGCTCACAACTTTAATGCCAGTAACTCACACAGTAGAATTTTTGCTCACAAGACTCCACAGCTTAGAGGGAGTATTCTGCCCTGGGCCTGCTTGCAGGGAGGGGTAGGATATAAGTCCATGTAAATAGATAAATACATTGTAGCTGATCAGCTTCCAATAACATACATCTTTTTCATAGAGAAAGTGTTCTCTTTGGCAGATCTGTGAGAATCATCACCTTCAGTCTGAACACTTTCTCACATGCCATGTTTCCCCCTCTACATAGAAATGCTTCCATTGTGTGAAACTATTTAAAACTACCCGGGACGCCTACGTTTTTATGCATGTATGTGTAGAGGATAAGTCTTGCCAGTTACAGCTTCCTAGAAAAAGTACATGTAGAGGATGGAAATATGCCATTGTTGCACCTATGAATTTCACATCTTGCTGCCTTGCAACATTCCCTGTTAAACATACGCTGCTTGAATGAGAGCTTCACTCATCAGCTTGCTGTAACTTTCAATGTACCCAAAGTCCTTACTTCTACCACATGGTCTTAACTTATTTTCTGGGGGATTAATGTATGCTTGCTTGACCTAACTGAGAATTAGTGCTGCTCTTGGAAGACAGGATTTTTTCCATATCAGTGGAAGAATGCTATGCATAGTTGCTAGCAATGTAATCCTGAGTATAGTATGGTATTGTGTGGATGCTGCTGCATCAACTCCCGCCCCTCCTGTTTCCAGTCTCCCTACCTGCTTACTTAAATAACAGTGCTTTCCCCAGAGGAAATGCATAATGTCTAAAATGCCTAAAATGCCTCTGAGCATCTTTTGCAGGGCCTCTTGGTTTGGGCGGGCTTTTGATGACAGGAGTTGAACATGAAATCCACCGTGGTAAATATATATGACGAGTGCTCTATCAGTGGCACTGGTTCCCAGTTTGTTTCTGGGCTCAATTCTAAGTGTAGTCTTTAAACTTTAAAGCCCTAAATGACTGTGACCCAAAGTATGTGAAGGTGTGCATCCACCTAAGCGCTATGCCCAGCCCCCCATGATACCTGCCTGCCTACTTACTGAGAACCTGTTGGTGGGTATTTGGGATACAGCTTTTACAGTCCCCTCCCCCAGTTGTGGAACCCTCAGCTCCTGGATTTGCTGTTAGACCCATTGCTTTAACCAACCACTGGAAGTTGTGTGCTTATTCTAGAGGGCTTGTGATCATTGATTCATTGTTATTCCTAGTACATTGTTTACTATTCTTTCTTAGCTGTTTTTAAC